TTTCCCACCTTGAAAAAGAGGCGGGGGTGGGGGTGGGGGTGGGGGAGCCTGCCTTCCACCACTGTCAGGATCTGAAGCTTACTTAAATCTATAGCGAAAACAATGAGAAACAAATAATGCCTCAAGGCCTGGACCTGGACCAGGCCACATGCTGACTGACTGGCTCCAGTATCAATAGTGGGATATGAGCCAATTTAAGATATGGTTCTTACATGGGATTGTTGAGGCCAAATGAAGGCAACCACAAAAATACTGGACAAGGAAGGGTGAAAGCAAAAACAAGAAAATAAGCACAAGAAAAATTCTATTCAAGAAGAGCATGAAAAAATTCTAACATACGTGAAGAAATTAAAAACATGAAAGATGACTGATATAACTAATGTTGGGGAGAGGAACCTCCTGCAAATGAAATTAAAATAGAGCAACCTGATGATGACTTCAAAAATTGTTTGAGACCCCCAGGTACAGTGGTGCACACCTGTAATCTCAGAGATTAGGAGGCTGAGGCAGGAGAATCACAAATTTGCAGCTAGTCTCAGCAACTTAGCAAGGCCCTAAACAACTCAGTGAGACCTTGTCTCAAAATAAAAAAGAGGGCTGGGGCTGTAGCTCAGTGGAAGAGCATTTGGCTATCATGTGTGAGGCACTGGGTTCAATTCTCAGCACCACATAAAATAAATGAAATAAAGGTCCATTGAAGACTAAAGAATATTTTTTGAAAAATAAGATAAAAAATAAAAAAGGGCTGAGGATGTAGCTCAGTGGTAAGGTGCCTCTGGATTCAATCCTCAGTACCAAAAAAAAAAAAAAAAAAAAGTTCTGGATTCTCCAATAGCTAAAGAAAATCAGAACACACATCATGAAAGAAAAAAAAATAATAAATTAAAAACAAGTATAATATAAAAATAGAAAAACTGATTAGCAAAATTGAAACACTAGGATAAAGATTTTCTAGAAGATGTGAAAGTATATAGGCAGATGTTAGTGGAATATGGGAGGAAAGAGGAATTAAGGAACAAAAACAATTTTTCAAAAAAATTCAAGAACTATGTGTATATAATCCCATTTAAATAAAATTGCCTTGACCCTTACTTCACTATATTCATAAAAATTAAGATGGATCATAGATCTAGAAATAAAACTAGAACCTAAATAAATAAATAAAATTGCCAACAGGTGAAGAAATTACCAATTAAAAACCATGAAGGTAAACTATATATTGTTGAGTGAAAAAAACATTGACAAAACACAACGTATTATGTAATATTTATATAAGAAAGCAACTTAAAAACTCCTGTGCTATCTGTATACAAATGCACTAATAAAAACATAAAATTGGATATACCAAACTCCTAACAGTAGTTCCTATTTGAAGGTGTATGCGATCAGGTAGCCTTAGGAAAAGAGGCTATGGTATATTATCATTTCCTAATTGTTTAAAATTCTTAATTATGTTAATTTTTAGGATAAACTTATATTTATTAAAAACACAAAAACTAACTATAGAGCCAGGCATGGTGGCGCAGGCCTGTAATCCTAATGACTCTAGAGGCAGAGACAGGAGGATTGCCTTTGAAGTCAGCCTTAGTAATTTAGAGAGGCCTTCAGAAACTTAGCAAGACCCTGTCTTAAAAAATAAAAAGGGCTGGGGATGTAGCTCAGTGGTAAAGTGCCCCTCGATTCAATCCCCAGTATCAAAATAATAAAAACATAACTATAAAAATATTTAAAATACAACCACAATTTAAAACCAAGTTAGATCTATGCCAGTTCAACCGGAGGATTTCCACCATAAATTTGAGTTAGAAGACTAAATTGTAGATAACCTGATATATGAATCACTTTTATGTAAAATAAATTATGCCCCCAAATTATCCAGTTTATACATGCTCCTATAAAATTATATGTGCAGAGAAAAATGGACTCATACCAGCTTAACTTTCAATATCTAAAGGAGTGGCAGATGAGAAGGGAGAGAGGACACCAAAACAAAACAAAAAAAAAAGAACAGTATCCTTGATTTTAAAAGGAGAATAATATGAGCTCATCTATAGAAAAATTTTTGCATTAATATTTCTTGCGTGCACTTGATCTTAGTGTTGGAGCACTCCCCCTTAGTCTTGAGTAATGGGGGGTGGAACTGGCTATGGGAGGCAAGTGGGCCTCACCTTGGCAAGGAAGTGTAACTCAGGATTTGGGCGTCACCCAAGGGGACTGGGCTACATCCCCATTTGTTGTAACACAATCCCTTGCCTTATTTGGGTGGAATTTTCTATCAAATGTCTTTCCCCTAAATAAAAACAGGGATTGGGGTGTGCTTGCTCTCTTGCCTCTTGCTTCCCTTACTTCCCTTGCCCTCCAATGTGGGAGCTGACACCTGAGGTCTCAGAGCCGTCCCTGATCCCCGAAAAACATTATTTCTTGTTTGTGTAGTCTTTTCGTTGCCAGCCCAACTCACGCAGAGGGACCCTGACTCCATTGCCTGCGCAGGACATAGGCAATAGTTGGCGCCCAGAACAGGGACATTCTGCGTGAATTTCAGGCATTTGGTAGGTGTGGCTTTATCTCCAATAGTAAGAAGCGCGTATATATTTGCAGAGTATTGTGGATTGGTTTGTGAAAGTGAGAGGAGGGAGGAAAGTGAGTGGACGTAAAAAATAAAATAAACTATGGGGAATTCTTTGTCTTCAGAGAGAGAAATCTATTTTGCAACTCAGAAGACGACAATCAAGGGAAGGTGAGGCCCACTTGCCTCACTGCATGTGATTCCAATTCCACACCCCCATTACTCAAGGCTAAGGGGGCATGCTCAGCTCCTATTCAGGACAGCCTGACAAGTTAGGACATAGAGAAGTGAGAGCTTAAGATATGGGAAAAGGGGAAGGGCAACAATAATAAATAGAAATGATATCAGTAAGTGTTAGACTAAAATAAAGCAGGTGGAGGTGATAGAATATGACCATAAAGGTCATAAGGGAATTTGACAAAGGCTCTCTGGGAAGATCCTCTGATGAGGTGATAGTTTGATAGAGAATTGAAAGAAGTGAGAGAGTTGGGCAGATAGTTTCAGAGAGAAATGTGTTTCGGGTAGAGGAAGCAGCAAGCCTGAAAGCCACAGGAATACTGTGAGCTTGGAACATCCTGGAACAGCAAGGATGCTATTGTGATTGAAGCACAATAAGCAAGGATAAGAGTGAGAAAAATACCAGGGTCAGAGATGATATCAGAGAAGCAGCCAGGGACCAAATTCTAGAACAGGTGAAGTATAATGGGAGAAACTGGAGGGTTTTAAGTAAGAGGTAACAACCTGATTTTGCTTTAAAAGAATTCTCTGGATATGGTATAAAAAAATAGGATTGAAAAGGAGACTAGTAAGGAAGCTATTACAGTAGTCCTACTAAGAGGATATGATGAGGGCTGAAGACGTAGCTCAGTGGTAAAGTATTTGCTTAGCATACTCAAGGCCTTGGGTTCAATCCCCAGAGAGAGAGAAAGCCTATGATAAACAGAACAAAAGTATTAAGAGGTAGATTTGGTGAGTGGCAGCTGGATTTGGAATGTTTGTTTCAAGATAAAGGCTGCAGGATCTGCTGGCAGTTTAAGGGTGTAGATATCAAACAATTTTACTCCTAATTCTGGTGACATGTTAAAAATGTGATTTAAACTATTTTTGCTTGTTAATGTTTTCAAATATGCATACATTATTTATATGATTAAGAAAAACAATACATTTTCCAAAAGATATACACTAATTAATCCTTTCTTTACTTTTGAGATTAGAAGGATATGACACAGAAGATTTTTATACTAATGCTATGTAACCAGAATGTTGGGAGTAAAATCACATAAACCTTCAAATGATCCTTTAAGTAAATCTGTATTCCCTCCTAGATAAAAAGGTTACCAGGTTTCTTTAGGTGAAAATTAACTGTATCTAAAAAGAGATACTTCAGTATATTTTAAAGAAACAAATTTCAATTACTGTTTTTATGCTGTGCAAAATCAAAACAAATACATGTCAATCACTGTATTTGGAAACTACCCATTTTTGGTGAACCATGATAATTGATTAAGCATTAAGTTCTAGGTCAGTTTTTAAAAGTCAAACTGCGAGTTTTGTGATTTTAATCAACTTCAGAACAGTTTCTAATGCTTGTACTTGTCCTTCTCAGTTTATCCTGCTGGTTTAGGAGATTTGGGAAATTGTGGGAGGGGAGAGAGAGGTGTGAAAAAAAGAGTTCAGAATTCAAGAAAGACAGGGTATTTCAAGCCATGAGCATAACTATTTCAATCAAATAAATCAAGGGTTTTGCTAGGTTCCCCGCCCCTCAATAATTGTTCAGAAATGGCATTTTTGAGTGCCAAAGGAAATTTCAAAAAGTCTGTTAGGAAGATTGCTAAAGTTTTAAAATGTGAGAATAGACATTTAAAAATATGTATGATTCATATTTTTAGCAATGTCAGCTCTATTGCTGCATTTCCATATGTTTGTTTGTATTGATTTTATTTATCTGTGTTTTAAGGGAGACATCTAAGTGGAAATAAAACTAGGTTCAAAGGTACAATAAATACCTCTCTCTTAAGTTCAATGTAATTTTATTTATTGGATTTTATTTTGTAAACAAGGAGAAACCAATGAAGGTTATAACACTATGATTTAATAGTATAACTTTGACTGTAATGCAAAGAATAGACGGTAACAGCAATTAGAGACAGAGTTATTATAATAAAATTAGAAATGGGCATGTGTTATAGTAATCTAGGTCAGGAGAAAGCTTTATAAAGTCTAGATTCCTGGGTCCAGCCCTGGAGATTCAAAGACAGCAGGTTTAGAGCAAATTCTCAGAACTCTGAATGAAGAGTAAAATATGAATGACTGGTAGTTAAGTTTAAGTATCAAAGGAAGACATCTTTGATGCTGTACCTTTAGAAGAACAGCAAGAACTTAATAAAATCACAAGCTCATGCTTCATTTTTACCATAAATGAACACTGCCTTACCTGAATCAGGGTCATATTTTAGATCCAATGGAGGTACAACAGGTTGGTACTGTTTCTGCAAATAGCATAAATAAAACAGACAATTTAATCATATAATGTCTCACGTAATGTCTTTCAACTAATGTAAGAAAATATACTATGTAATCAATAATACCATTTTTTAAGGGGGAAAATATATATTTTAGATCCTGAAATCTGTAGGAAAGGGAGGAAAAAAGGTGAGGTCAGGAAGTCCAATTTATATCTTTTATAGTACTGCCACCTGCTGCATACACTAAGAAATAGCACCATAAAAACAGGTATAATCAGAAAAACCAATCAAGTAAATTAAAAACAGAGACTGAATGTTTTGTTTAAAGTACAGGGCAGTTTCCAAATTATGAATAACTACATTTCAAAAGTTCATTTAGGAAAACTCAAAATTCGTATTTCCACAGAAATGCCATTCTAAATGATAGTTGAGCTACCATATCATCACACTAAAATCTACATATCCTATATTAACACTTGAACTACTTTAGAACTATTGGTAATTCCACAGTTCAGGCAACAAGAAAGAGGAAAATATTTCTTCTTATTCCTGCCCAAAGTCAAAAGGAGCAAAAGAGTTTAAAAAATGGAATAAAATTTAAAGAAGAAAGAAAGAACTCTTTGGTATCTTCACTCCATCCATTTTACCTCACTTTTAAACAAGTACAGTGGGTACATCACCTAGGCAAGGAAGGAGACAGTAGAAAATACACACGCTTAGAATGTTTTTCTCAAGAAATTTTAAAGTGGTAACAGATTAGGTATTTGAAGAATAACTGCTATGGAAGAAAAAGAGAAACGATCTCCTTATAATTTTTTTTTCATAGAATGATGACTAAAGTGTTTTAAAGTATTAAGCCCAGTCTTTAATGACCTAGAACAATCCCTGAAAGGGAAAAGACTAGAAGACTTACATGCAAAAGTATGCTGATTTCAAATACTTAAGGCAAATAGTATAGAATAGTCTAAAAGCAGCAAAAATTTCGTATTCAATGGGCAATGCCACTTCCAATAAACCTTCCACAATCCCTAAGGTGACATTTAGATCTAATTTGCTTTGTGGACTTATTTTGTATTTATTCCAGTCCTAATAAATCTGAAAGATGAAGGTATAATACAGTTAATACTAATATTTACAGTAATTGGAAGAAGCAAGCCTATCATTCTGCCTATCTAAAGAGATCAGTCTGAAGGAGTTGACTTCCTGATCTTATGACCCAGATGGTTGAGTTTTAAAGCAAAAAAAAAAAAAAAAATACATAATTCATAAAGCAAATTTGGAATTTCAGCGTTATAAATAAGTACTCAAATCATTTTCTCCACCAATTTAACTAAAGGGTTATTCCAAAATACACAACCATATACAAATAATATTCCAAATACAAATAAGAACTAGAAAACAGTTAAAAGATAAATTTCCTTTCCCTTCCTGGTCTCAGAATCATTAAGTCATCATCAGGCTTCCATCTTCAATTTCAATTTTAACATCAGCTGTGTTCCACACCTCATACAACTTAGATCAGGAATAAGTCTTAAGAGACAAATAGTACTGATTAAGACAGGAAAGACAAAGAGAACAAAATATCATCTATCTCCATGTGGTTCACATACTTTATTTTTTTATTGTGGTAAAATATACATAAAAATTAAATAAATCATCTTACCAGAGCTTCATGTTGTGCCTTTAAGGTTTTGATGACACATTCAAGGATCTTTCTGGGATACTGCTTACGTTTTGTTGCTATATCTACTATGACTTCATCAAACTGATCTTCAAGTACTTTGATGTCAGAATCTATTTCAGAAAAAAATAATAACTAAAAGAAGTTCTTAAAACTCACTATACATATTAGTATGAAAAATTGTTATAAGTAAATTAAATTTAGAAAACACAAATAATTAAAGAAAACATATATGGCAAGTTAATAGACACTCCTACTTTGGTGATTAGTTAATTCTCATTCAACAATCCTTTTTTTTTTTTTTTTTAGTACCAGGGATTGAACTCAGGGGCACTTGACCACTGAGCCATATCCCCAGTTCTATTTTATATTTTATTTAGAGACAGGGTCTCACTGTGTTGCTTAGCGTCTTGCTTTTGCTGAGGCTGGCTTTGAGGCATGTGCCACTGCACCCAGCTGAACAATCCACTTTTGAGCACCAATAGGAAGTCAGGCCTAAACCAGAGAAATATAAATGTTAACCTAATATGATCCCAAGAAACAGATAACTGCAATTTGATAAATCAACAGAGGTATTAGCAAAATGTCATCAGGACACAGAAAATGAAACACTAACTATGTCTGGAGTTTAAGACTTTTAAAAGGAAGTAATATTTGAGCCTGGCTCAGTGGTACAGTTTTGTTATTCCAGCAACTCATGAGACTAAAGCAGGAGGATTGTGAGTTCAAGGCCAGCCTTGGCAACTTAGCAAAAAAAATATAAAGAGCTGGGGATATAGTTTGGTGGTAGAGCACTCCTGGGCTCATTCCCTAATACAAAAAAGAAATAACATTTGAGCTCAAAATATAACTGTAAATCCACTGGATAAAAATGGTAGGGGAAGACTGAAGATACAGCTTGGTTGGCAGAGTTCTTGCCCAGCATTCACAAGGCCCTAAATTCAATCCCCAGAACCAAAAGAAAAAAAAAAAAAGTAGGGGAAAAATGATAAGGAAACGCATTTTGGGCAGAGGAAAACAGTATTTGTAATAGCACAGAGTCTTGAGAAACCGAAAAATTCTAAATGCCTGCGGAATGAACTAAAGGTAAAAAGGATGAAAAATATTTAAGAACTAGACTGTAGGGCTGGGGTACAGCTCAATGGTATAGCAAGTACTTAGCATGCAAGAGGCCCTGGATTCAATCCCCAGCACTAAAAAGAAACACAAAAACAAACAAAACCTTAGACTATAAAGGACATTTAGTATCAGAGATATCCACAAGTTATTAATGTGATTATCCTCACATAAAAATAAAAAAAAATCTTAAAGAGTAATATACCACATAAAAATAAATTAATAAAAATAAGGGTATTAAGAAAAAAACTTTTGCAGAACTCATAATCAGCTTGTCCTTATGAGTGCAAAAATTTTGATTCAGTATGAACATAGGGCCCAGAAATGACACTCTACATGAAATGAGTTCAGGTGCTGATCAACTTTATTCTGAAAATAATTTTGAAGAGTAAAAACACTAAGTAGTTATGAATCCTAAAAAACTAGGTCCTCAGCTTACTTGGTTTACATCAGATGTGTTCTGTTGTGTCAAAATCTGTTAAAAATGGATCTATTTGGGGCTGGGGTTGTGGCTCAGAGGTAGAATGTTCATCTAGCATACGTGAGGCACTGGGTTCAATCCTCAGCACCGTATAAAAATAAAGATATTGTGTCCCCCTATAACTAAAAAATAAATATTTTTTAAAAAATGGATCTAGGGGCTGGGGTTGTAGCTCAGTTGGGAGAGTGTTTGCCTGGCATGTGTGAGGCACTGGGTTCGATCTCAGCTCCACATAAAAATAAAATAAATAAAATAAAGGTATTTTGTCTGTCTACAAAAAAAAAAATTTTAAATGGATCTATTTATTTTATTAAGCAGAAGCTTTGTTATAAAATTTGAAACAGCATGTATATTATTTGAAACATTCTGAGAAACTGCTGATATATGTCAGCATATACATCCATATCAGGTAAAGATTAATGAAGTACATCAGGTATGCTCTTTCATTCATGTAATGAATATTTGTTGAATCCAAATAAATTACTTCTTTAGAGAGTATTATGAGAGAGACATTTCTTACTTAGAATACTTATTTATAAATAAGCAGCTCTAAATTTTAACATATCCATTAAAAAAGTTAAATCACTGACTAGAAAAGAATAATGTACACAACCAGTTTAAAAAAAAAAAAAAGTCTCCCAGCTAAACCTTTGTAGGGAAGGAAAATGGTCTCTTAATGCCACCTAAGGATAAAAAAGCTGCAAAATTGAAACATATAAACAAATTTGAACAGAGAATTATTCATTAATTTAACAAACACTTAACAGGGACCTATAAGGTGCCAAGTTGAAAAAATATGAGGAGAAAAACAAATACAGTTCCTGCTCTCAAGGAACTTATGTTCCAAACATTAAATCTAACTGATCCTCCTGTAACTAAGATAACTCAGGGTAGTAACAGAGGAAGGGAAGAGGTTGGTTTCACTTGTATATTCATTCATTCATTCCTTTGTTCCTTCACTCATTTACATAAGGATCTCAAGTGCCAGATCCTAGAAATCTTAGTCAACAAAACAGACAAAAAACTTCTGCCCCAGGGGCTGTGGTTATGGCTCAGTGGTACAGCGCTTACCTAGCACCTGTGAGGCAATGGGTTCAATCCTCACCATCACATTAAAATAAAGGTATTGTGCCCATCTATAACTGGAAAAAAAAAATAAACTTATCTTGCTAAGGGTTGCTTTAGCTATTCTGGGTCTCTTATTTTTCCAAATAAATTTCATGACTGCTTTTTTTATTTCTATGAAGAACGTTATTGGGATTTTAATAGGCATTGCATTAAATCCATATAATGCTTTTGGTGGTATGGCCATTTTGACAATATTAATTCTGCATATCCAGGAGCATGGGAGATCTTTCCATCTTCTGAAGTTTTCTTCAATTTCTTTCTTTAGTGTTCTGTAGCTGTTATTGTAGAGGTCTTTCACCTCTTTTGTTAGATTGATTCTCAGGCTTTTTTTTATTATTTTTTTAAGGCTATTGTGAATGGAGTAGTTTTCTAATTTTTCTTTCTGTGGTTCATCGCTGATGTATAGAAATGCATTTAATTTGTGGGTTTGTTTTTATATCCTGCTACTTTGCTGAATTCATTTACTAGTTCTAGAAGTTTTCTGGTGGAATTTTTTGGATCTTCTAGGTATAGAATCATGTCATCAGTAAATAGTGATGAGTTTTGAGTTCTTCTTTACCTATTTGTATCCCTTTAATTTCTTTCTTTTGTCTAATTGCTCTGGCTAGAGTTTCAAGGATGATGTTGAATAGAAGTGGTGAAAGTGGGCATCCTTGTCTTGTTCCAGTTTTTAGCAGGAATGCTTTCAATTTTTCTCCAATTATAATGATGTTGGCCTTGGGTTTAGCATATATAGCTTTTACAATGTTGAGGCATGTTCCTACTATCCCTAGTTTTTCTAGTGTTTTGAACATGAAGGTGTACTGTATTTTGTCCTATGCGTTTTCTGCATTGAGATGATCATATGATTCTTGTTTTTAAGTCTATTAATATGATGAATTACATTTATAGATTTCTGTATGTGGAACCAACCCTGCATCCCTGGGATGAATCCCATTTGAGTGTGGCGCACTATCTTTTTATATGTTTTTGTATGTGATTTGCCAAAATATTTTTGAGAATTTTTGCACCTATGTTCACCAGGGATATTGGTCTAAAGTTTTCTTTCCTTGGTGTTTCTTTGTCTGGTTTTGGACTCAGGGTTGTATCAACCCCATAGAATGAGTTTGGAAGGGTTCCCTCCTTTTCTATTTCATGGAGTACTTCAAAGAGTATTGGTGTTAATTCTTGTTTGAAAGTCTTGAAGAACTCAGCTGAGAATCCATCTGGCCCTGGGCTTTTCTTGGTTGGTAGGCTTTTTTTTTTTTTAAGAGAGAGGGAATTTTTTAATATTTATTTTTTAGTTTTCGGCGGACACAACATCTTTGTTTGTATGTGGTGCTGAGGATCGAACCCAGGCCGCACACATGCCAGGTGAGCGCGCTACCGCTTAAGCCACATCCCCAGCCCGGTTGGTAGGCTTTTGATGGTGTTTTCTATTTCATTACTTGAAATTGATCTGTCTAAATCATGTATGACCTCCTCATTCAGTTTTGGTAAGTCATATGTCTCTAGAAATTTGTCAATGTCTTCAATATTTTTTATCTTATTAGAGTATACATTTTCAAAATAGTTTCTAATTACCTTCTGTATTTCGGACATGTCCATTGTAATATTTCCTTCTTCATCTTTTAGAATTTGAGTTATCTTTTTCTCTTCATTAGCATGGCCAAAGGTTTACCTATTTTATTTATTTTTTCAAAAACCAACTTTTTGTCAATTTTTTCAATTTTTTTTTTATTTCATTGATTTCAGCTCTGATTTTAATTATTTCCTGTCTTCTACTGCTTTTGGTGTTGATTTGTTCCTCTTTTTCTAAGGTTTTGAGATGTAGTATTAGGTCATTTATTTGTTGACTTTTTATTCTTTTAATGAATGCACTCAATGCAATAAACTTTCCTCTTTGTACTGCCTTCTTAGTGCCCCGGATATTTTGATATGTAGTATCAGTGTTCCCATTTACCTCTAAGAATTTTTTTATTTCATCCTTGATTTCTTCTACTATCCATTCATCATTCAATTGTGTATTATTTAGTCTCCATTTGTTACAGTAGCTTCTATTTTTTTATTTTATCTTTGATTTCTAATTTTATTCCATTCACAATACCCAACCTTAAACTATACTATAGAGCTATAGTAACAAAAACAGCACGGTATTGGCATCAATACATTCTATACTATTGGTTCTACATGGTAGATGTAGACCAATAGTACAGAATAGAGGACACAGAGACAAACCCACATAAATACGGTTTTCTCATACTAGACAAAGGTGCCAAAAACATTCACTGAAGAAAAGATAGCCTATTCAACAAATGGTGATGGCAAAACGGAAATCCATATGTAGCAAAATGAAATTAAACCTCTCTCTCTCACCCCCACAAAAATCAACTCAAAGTGGATCAAAGACTTAGGCACTAGAACAGAGACCCTGCACCTACTAGAAGAAAAAATAAGCCCAAATCTTCACCACATCAGCCTAAGATCTGACTTCCTTAACAAGACTCCTAAAGCACAAGAAGTAAAATCAAGAATCAATAAATGGGATGGATTCAAATTCTCAGCAAAGGAAACAATAATGTGAGGAGAGACTCTGCCTACAGATTGGGAGAAAATCTTTACCACATGCACCTCTGATAAAGCATAATCTCTAGGATATATAAAGAACTCAAAAAACTTAATACCAAAAAAACAAATAACCCAATCAATAAATGGGCTAAGGAACTGAAGAGACATTTCACAGAGAAGAAATACAATTGATCAACAAACATATCAAAAAGTATTCAATGTCTAGCAATAAGAGAAATGCAAATCAAAACTGCTCTTAAGATTTCATCTCACTCCAGTCAGAATGGCAATCATCAAGATTACAGGCAACAATAAATGTTGGTGAGGATGTGGTGAAAAAGGTGCACTCATACATTGCTGGTGAGACTGCAAATCGGTGTAACCACTATAGGAAACAGTATGGAGATTCCTCAGAAAATTGGGATGGGGCCACCATTTGGCCCAGCTATCCCACTCCTTGGTTTATACTCAAAGGACTTAAAATCAGCATACTATAATGATGCAGCCACATCAATGTTTATAGCAGCTCAATTCATAATAGCTAGACTAGACTATGGAACAACCTAGGTGTCTCTCAATAGATGAATAGATAAAGAAAATGTGGTATATGTATACTCAATGGAATATTCCAACGCTTTAAAGAAGAGTGAAATTATGGAGAATATCATGCTAAGTGAAAAAAGCCAATCCCACAAAACCAAAGGCCGAATGTTTTCTCTAATATGCTAATTCACAATAAGGGCAGGGCACTACAGAAGAACAGAGCTGCCTTAGGTTAGGTAGACGGAAGTGATAGGAGGGGAGGGGAGGGGATGTGGGGATAGGAAAGATAGTAGAATGAAACAAACATTATTACTGTATGTATATATATATGACTACATGACCAATATGATTCTGCAACATGTACACTCAGAAAAATGAGAAATTATATCCCATTATTATGATATATCAAAGTGCATAAATGCATTCTACTGTCATGTATAACTAATTAAAACAAATAAAAAATTTTTAAAAAAAAACACCTCTGCCCTTGTAAAACTTACTTACTGCTTCTATGTACTACATCAAAAACAAAACAAATCCTATTAATTCTATTTTCTGAATCTCTCTCTTTTCTGGGGGGAGGGTACTGGGAATTGAATTCATGGGTACTCTATCACTGAACTATATATATTCCCATTCCTTTTTTTTATTATTTTTTTATTTTGAGATAGGATGTTGTTAAATTGCTGACATCAGCCTTGAATTCACAATCCTCCTGCCTCAGACTCTGAGCCACTGGGATTATAAGGGTGTGACACTACACCTGGCTCTAAATATCTCTTGAACCTATCTTTTTCTATTATCTTAGTGCAGGTCTTCACCATCTTTTGCTGCATTATTGCAATTAACTCCCTAAGGGCTGACTGCCTTAAATTTCTCCATTCTCCAATCCATCCCTCAGACAGCCAGCAGTTAGTTTTCTAAAACACAATCCTTTGCATGTAATTCTACTTTAAAAAACTCATTGAGGGCTGGGGGTGTAGCTCAACAGTAGAGTGCTTTCCTGACACAGATGGGTTAGATCCCCAGCACTGCAAAACCAAACAAAAACCTCACTGCTTCACATTGCCTGCAGGATAAAGTACAAATTCCTTAGCATATCCTTCAAGGCTACTGGAGATTTAACCTCAACTTCTCTTTCTGGCCACATCTGCCATTTTTCCCAATTCACTTCTGATATTTTCCAAACACATCACTCCTGTGTGCTTTTGCACATGCTGTTTTGTTTCAGATATCCTTGCTACTTCCTATCTAGCACACTCATTTATTTATGCATCTTACTTAACAACAACCTATTGTTAGGTCTTCTCCCACTTTCCAAAGAGCATAGTGATTCCACACCCATTTCCTTCCATAGCTGCACCATTGTTTGGGGTATATATATTTATGATTGTTATGTCTTGCTGGTGTATGGTTCCATTGAGCAGTACGTAATGTCCATCTTTATCCCTTTTGATTAATTTTGGCTTGAAGTCTACTTTATTTGATATGAGTATGGAAACCCTTGCTTACTTCCGCAGTCCATGTGAGTGGTATGATTTTTCCCAACCTTTTGCCTTCAGTCTGTGTAATGCCTTTTCCTAACGGATGAGTCTCCTGTAGGCAGCATATTGTTGGATCCTTTTTCTTAACCCAATCTGCTAGCCTATGTCTTTTGATTGGTGAGTTTAAGCCATTAACATTTAGGGTTACTATTGAGACATGGTTTGCATTTCCAGCCATATTGGTTTATTTTTGTTATTTAACTTGTTTTTTCTCTTTGATTATGTTTTCCTTTAGTGTACTACCTCCCTTTGCTGGTTTTCATTGTTGTTTTTCATTTCCTCTTCATAAAATGTAGTTCCCATTTTCTACCTATAAATTTTTTTAACTTTTGTTTATCGTGGAAGGTTTTTATTTCATCTTCAAATCTGAAGCTTAATTTTGCTGGATACAAGATTCTTGGTTGGCACCCATTATCTTTCAGAGCTTGAAATATATTGTTCCAGGATCTTCTAGCTTTCAGGGTCTGTTCAAACGGAGATATACACTGATAGCCACACCTACCAAAAAATGGCGAGAAAGGTTTTCCAAGATGGAGTCTGTCTGCTTCCAGCGCTGGGGTGTCTGGTGAAGTGGGAGGAGCTGGGATGGTCTTGTGCTATGGCTAGATTGCAGTCATGTGACTGGAAAACAGAGGTTCTGATTTCTGCACAGGTGGTCACAGCTCTCCATTTCCTTCCATGAATGATAGTTCCTAAATGTCAGGACCATGTCTGTTCCTCAGTTTTCCAGCATTTGGCATAGGACCTAGTATTTACCAGGTACCCATGGAAGAAGGTGAAAGTATACTGTAGCATTCTCAACTACCTCTCCTCACAAGCTTGCACCACCACATTCAATTGTTTTTTTCATTTTAATGTATAAATTAAAAAGTGAATTTTGGTGACTTTGAAGAGATAAATATTATAATCCTAAGGACAGTAAAGTCTTCAGAGCGAAGTATTACCTCAATGTTGAGAAGAAAAATTATAACCACAGAAAGTTTTGTGGTAGGGCTGTAGTCAGCTCAAGGGTATGAACATAAAGCTATGCTAGTGACTTCAACTCAATAATATGAACATAAAGCAGTGATGACTTCAAGCTATGCTAGTCAGATCTGAGTGATAGCACCATGAGGACATACTAGTCTCTCTTGTCAAGGTAGCCCTTCTCTGGACATTGCTGTCCTGGCAAGGGGAATTCTGCCTCTCTTCTCACACTGATAATTCCCTTTCTACTTTTTTTTTTCTTTCTACACTAACCATTCTTTCTCTTAAAACTTTTGATATCTTTAGATAGTTGTTAGAGTGTGTGTATACATACATATGATATGTATATAAATGATTATATACATATATATATATATATATATATATATATATATATATATATATATATATCTCAACTCTGCTGTAAGCCAAGAAAATATTCTTTTTTTTTTTAAGGAGTCTTCTACAAATATATGACCTCATCCTTTGCTTGGTACTAGTATACTACTTCTAAGGGTGCTTCAGTATCCACTCTAAGGATCACTTGCAAAAATAAAACTTGTTTTATAAGGAATGAATAGGAATCGTCTGGGCCTGTTTCTTTTTCTTTTCTTTTTTTGTTTTCCCAATATAAGTGAATTTATTTCATGTTAGAGTTGCCAAATCTGACAACAGAACCATTTGCATACATAGTATTCTGGTGTTTTGTCTACTACAGTATAACAAATCTCCTGCAAACAAGTGGCTTAAAAGAACTGCTGCTTATCTGCTCTCTGCTCATGGGTAGAGGGTGGTAGAAAGAGCTCCATCTTTGTTCTGTATAATATGGGTTGGTGGCTTGATGGACCAAAGGACCCATGATGGTTTCAATCACAGGTCTGCTGCCTTAGCTGGGATGGCCGGAATGGCTGGGGGCTGGCAGAACTTCTCCTCTCCTTTTATAATCTCTCATCTGCCAGAGCAACTACCTTCAGCAAGGTAGTCAGACTTTTGTGATAAGTTAGCTGCCCTCTAACAGAACATTTTGGTCTGAACTATAACCCTATAAAATTCTTATGAAGTATTAACTCTCAGAAAACCTCAGAGATAGATACTTAAAATGAAGTAATATGAAAAGGTCCTAATCCAGTATGACTTGTGTAATAAGAAAAGTGGCACCACAGACATGCATGCACAGTGAAAAGGACACAGTGAGAAAGGACACAATGAGAAAGTGGTCATCTGTGAGCCAAGGGCAGAAGTCTCAGGAGAAACCAGCCTGCTGACATGGGCCTGTTTCTTCATCTGGGGATAATACTACAGTATTTTCCAATAAACTTTAAAGATTAATCAGATGAAATCCTGTTTATAATACTAGAGAGCATATATGATGGATCAAGGTAACTACTGTGTTTCCTCCAGATTATGACTTCAATAGTCTTCTATATTAGTTTCCACTTTTTATTCTCATAATTCACATAAAGAATTAAAAACAAGTGATAATGAAAACTGGGATTTAAAAGAAACATTCAAAATAAAATTAGCGACCAAAAAACAAAGAAATTAATGACAGAAGAAAAAGTTATGACACATACCCATAAAACAATTATCTGAAGCTTCCTGCCATGCTTGCCCATTAATGCTGACATTCTCTTGCACAGCTGATTCAAAGGTCTGCAATAAATTCACAGTAGTCAAGTCACCGAAAAATTTTTTAATGCCAAATCCAAGCATTTTGTCAAAATAATTTCAGATTTGTGACCATGTACATAGTAAAGTTAGAGACTAGCCTATTAGTGCATTTATTCTTTGCAATGAAGTAAAATTCCATTTTAGTCACTGAGATGTACTGATAACAATTTTAGCTATGATAGCCATTATGGTACCTGTGAGAAAATTTGCTGCATAATTTTAGAATACTCTTGTAAACAAATAAATAAAAAACCTGTATATGAAATTAAAAATAAAGGCTAACAATTTGGACTCAATTGAATCCCAGGTGTACTATGATACACATGCTGCAGAATGAATGCCACTGTTAACAAGAGGGAAAATAAACATCCTTAAAATAAACTAAAATTAATTTCTACTTTATAAATAACAATATGGGGGGGGGGCTGGGGATATAGCTCAGTTGATAGAGTGCTTGCCTCACATGCACAAGGCCTGGGTTCAATCCCCAGCACCATTAAAAAAAAAAAAAAAAAAAGGTTTTGTTTTTTTTTTTTTAGAGAGATACACTGAAGTATTTAGGGATGCAAAGACCAGAAAGACCTAAGATTTGCTTTAACACAATACAAAATAAAGAACTAAAGGAATTTGGTAGTGCCATTAAATTTTTAATGCATATTCCCTATTACCCAACAATTTCACTTATAGCAATATATCCAAATGGATTAGTTTCATTAAAAAAATTAAAAGAGGATGGACTCTTTATGGTACAGAATGTTCATTTCAATACTGTTTGAAATATGAAAAATTAAGGGGAAAAATAAAATTCAATTTAAAAATCAGGAAAATTGATAAATATCCACACCAGATGGTACTTTAAAAGAATATCATCTCTATATAACATTGACAGGGGCTTGGGCTGTGGCTCAGTGGTAGAGTGCTCGCCTAGCACGTGCGAGGCTCTGGGTTCGATCCTCAGCACCACATATAAATAAAGTTATTGTGTGCAACTACAACTAAAAAAATAAACATACATCTTAAAAAAAAATTGACAGATAATAGTCAAAGACATATTTAGTTTAAAAAAAAGGCAAGTCAATAACAATTCATCAGCATGACACTATTAATGTAAGCAAGCAAGCAAACAAAAACAGAAGGGGGAGTAAAACCATAAAAAAAGGTGTGTAGGGGGGGTTTATTCCCCACCAGGTACTCTCCAAATAGTTATCTCCAGGAAGCTTTGAAGAGGGATAAGGAAAAGAAATTCAAAGCAGAATTTTGCTTAAATTTAAGCAAAGTAGAATTGCTTAAATTTAAATGCTACTGTTTAAATTTTTAAAAACGAGTATGTGTTTTGTACCACTTTTATAATTAAAAATAGGCATAAATCAAATAACTGACAATTATAAAATGTATATTCTACAAGGATTTTATAAAGTAAAATTTCGGTTGAAAATGTTCATAACACAATACAAAATGTGTATGGGCTTGCAAGAATTTATGTATGGACTTGCAAGAATTACCTAAGAATACAAATTATCTTTGTAATACTCACTGCAGTCCTACCAATACTATTTTTGTAGAATAAATGCTACTATATTATACAGTTTTAGATGAATAGCTACATCAATATAATTAAAGCTTATTTAAAATGAAACACAAGTTAATTTCCTTGGTAGTTAGTCTAAGCCTTCAAAAATTTATCTTGGTGATTCACTTTAAGATCTCACTAAAGAGGATATAAGATGTTAAGCCACATTCTGCTTCTTATGTATGGTAATTAAGTGTTTAAAATACCTTAACATTTCCTAAGATCAGAGAAACTCTATTATTATTGCAGTCCTCTTTCAAAAAAACTACTAAAAAAATGTTCTGAGGTATACTTCTATTCTTGCCTTTCTTATAAGAGGGAATGACATGAACCACTGCATATAAAACTGGAATACATTACAACCTAAGGAGTTTCTCTCTCCTTCCTCCCTCCCCCCCTCCTTCTCTCTCTCTCTCTCTCTCTCTCTCCATGAACCACTGCATATAAAATAGGAATACAAATTACAATTACAATTTAAGGAGTTTCTCTCTTCTCTCCTCTCCCTCTCCCTCTCTCCTCTCTCTCCTCTCCCCTTTCTCTCCCCTCTCTTCTTCTCATCTCTTCCTCTCTCTCTCTACCTCTCTTACTCCCCTCTCTTACTCCCTCCCTCTCCCCCCCACCCCCAGTAATACTGGGGAGTGAACCCAGAGGCACTCTACAACTGAGCTACATCCCCATCTTTATTATTTTTGTTCTGAGACAAGGTCCCCACTAAGTTGCCTAGGCTGCCCTTGAATTTGTGATCCTTTTGTCTCAGCCTCCCAAGTACCTGAGATTACAGGCAAGCACCATCATTCTGGGACCCAAAGAATTTCCTTCATTCTTTTTCCATTTAATCTCTATTTTAACTCTTTGCACTGTGATCATTCATATTCACCAATGTGCTGCATTATAAGCTATAAATTATTTTTCTTGCACAGATTGTGTGTTTCCTTATGATACGCACCAATTCCTCAATTTATTTCCTTTTTCCAAAAACTACCATCTCCAGGGCTTTGCAAAATATCCGAGAAAGGAAGGGAAAATGTGTTATAAGGACTAACTTTAGCATTAATGAAGTTTATAAGCAACATATGTACCCTCTTCACTTATTTTAGATTTATAAAGAAAATGTTTTCGATCTGCTTCTAAGAGGTTCTAAAACGGCAAAAGGCCAAGGCCAGGTGACTTTCCAGGATTACCCTTTCTTGGAGAATTCCTCAGAATGTATTATATGCCTGCTCGGTTCAAAAGAGGAATCAATAGACACGTAGAAAGGAAAGTAACACGTTCAGTGTATCATTACTTTAAGTGGTAAAATGGTACCTTGAGTTAAAGAAAACATTTTATTTCAATTAATTTCGCCTGTTTTTTCTTTTATAATTATATATGCAGGTCGCCTTACATTTCTCCCGGGTCAGCACTGGTCCAAGTAATTAATAATACCCAGCTGACACTAACATCTATTTCGTTCTCCCCTCGCCTTTCTCAGGCTGCTTCTACAGCAGCCTGGGCACCGTTAATTCCGCTGAGGCCTGGAGTAGGGTCTTTCTTAGCCCGGAGCCCCGGGGAACGGGGGAAGGGAGTGATAAACAGGCGGCAAACTTGGTCCGTACCCACTGCGCATCTCGCAGCGCGAGCTCCCGAATCTCCTCTGGCAGCGCGTCTCCGAGCTTTTGCACGAAACGGCGGCACAATTCTACCAGTTCCGTCACAGCTCTCTTCGAAGTGCAACGCACTCGGAAGTCCTCTCGGGGGTTGGCTGGGACTGCGGTCTGGCTGTCTGTCCCGGCCACTATCTCTTGGTCCTGCGAAGGGGCGACAGCCACTGACTCAGAAGCCCCCGCCATTTTCCAGTTTGAACTGCAGGCGGGGACCCTGGGACCGGAAGTCCGAGTTCCAACTAGTGGAAGGAGCACACGTCCCGCCTGAAACTCGAGGGGACGCAGCCTAAGCGTTCCGGCTTTTGCTTCGCAATGCGTGTTTAGAGAAGTGGCGGCTGCAGAAGTGACGATGGGCGCGGTTGGCATGGGGCTGGTGGATTGTCACTGCCACCTGTCCGCTTCGGACTTTGATAGCGTATGTGAGAACGAGGCGGGGCTCGGGAGAGTGGGGAGGTTCTCGTCTTTTCCCCGCAGATTATCTTTCTCTCCCCCGTTGGGAGTGAAGCCCCCAAATCCCAGGCCTTGCCCGTGTCCCTTTGAGACCTGCCCGATTTCCTGCTTAACCCCAGTCATATTGATTTTTTTTTTTCTGGCCCTGGATTACAGTAAACTCTCCACAAAGCTTGTGTTTGCTGTTTCTGGTTCTTGAAGTCCTTTTTCCTACCTTCCCTGGACCGGGCTGCTTATCCCATATTCTCTAACCCCTCCCCCCCCCCATCTGACACATCGCATGCTCCAGTTCTAATGAAGCAGAGAGGCAAACTAAAAGAATAACACTCACACTCACAAAACCAGTTTATAAAGTGTTTTGCCTGCTACGTTGGAAACAAGAGACTGCTAACAGAGAAGGAAGAGTGGGTGTCTATTTCAGGAAGCAAACTTGTTAGGAGGTGAGGCTTATGGCTGGGAATATAAAAAAGCCAGCCAAGGCAAGGTGGTTTAGTGGAGCAGGCAGGTTGCAGGTCCCCAGGATAAAATTTAGTGCATTCCATTTACCAAAAGGCTGGATGAGCCTAATGAGCTACGGAGAGGAAGAAATGAAGCTAGACTGAAGAATTTTGTAGGAGATGGGTAAGGTAAGTCAGTAAGGAATTTGAATTGCATTAGATGCACAATTCAGTTCCATTAAAAGTGGGTCTGAGGAGTTAATAAGGCTGACCAGATCAAATAGCCACTTGAAGATCATTTTGCTGCTGTGGCAAATAGATGGAGGTAGAATAGAAGGTAGACCAGTTAAGAGACTTTTACATTATCAGACAAGAAATGATGCTTAGTACTATAACAATGATCCACTTTGTGCTTTGAATATAGCCCTTGCTGCTCTGCCACTGAGGCTTATTTTAAAATGGACATGTTTTCTTTCATTTCCTCTCTCCCTCCTTTCTCTCTGGAATTTCCCCCTCCCTAATTTCAGGGCAAACAGGATTATCTTTCTTTCCCATCCTAGGCAGTTATCTGGCCTTGAGCACACACTCAGAACAGGAATAGAATAGAAATTATTCAGACTTGGGGGATCTTAAGAGATGACTAGCTCACAAATAAACAAGTGAATTACAACTCTGGACAGAAAACTACAGGAACTTAGCCTTTGAATCACCTTTTTTTAAAAAAAAAATTATTAATATATTTTTATGTGGTGCTGCTGAGGATCAATCCAATGCTTCACATATGCTAGGCAAGCGGCCTGCCACTGAGCTACAGCCCCAGCCCCCTGAATCATCTCTTTAAAACTCCCCTATTCCAGAAATCTTGCTGAGTAGAATATAAAAGTTAATGTAAAGTTCTTAACTGTAAAGGGTAGTCTTTTAAAATAGATGCATTGACTTGTCTGTAAATTTTGAAAAGGTCAATTATGACACAGTGTATGGGTAGCTAATCACAATTTAGGGTAACACTGGGATGTATGGAGTATGAGATTTCAGATTCTGGAGCTTTTTCTGAGTACTTAACATTGGTTTTTGAATATTTTGAGGTTTCTGATGAGTTTCTACTGTTTTATATTAAAATATGTAATGTTATATAAGGGTTTTAGTATTCCAGATAATGGGAGTGGCTTTTTCATGGTATATTGTTGTTTTACTTAATCAAAGTATTTTTCTAGTTTATTAGAAGTATAAATAAATAAATAAACCGCCCTCCCCCATTCCCCCTGATGAGCAGAATCACAGTCTCTGTGACAGGAATCCCTCGTGTTTTCTCCTTTGCTAGCAAAGCAATGAAACTTCCTTTTCCTTTCTTCTCCAAACTATGCCCTCGTTATTGGATTGATATCAGAGACAAGGACTGAGCTTTTGGTAACAGTACTATAATGATAGTGGAGGAGTCTGAAAGGAGTAGATGTATTCAAGAAATATTTTAGAGATAGACTCTATTATACTTGCTAAGGAATTGGATTTGGAGAGGAAGGGAAAGGGAAAAATCAAAGTAGTCTCATATTTGTAACTTATACTGTAGGGAGAATTGTGGAGCTGCTTACTAGCATGTGGTGGGGAGGTAAGCAAACGAAATTGGTTTGTGGGAAGAAAAGAAAGATTTATATTGGGAACAGGTTGGAAAGCTTGATCAGTCCAAGTGGAGCGGTCATATAGTCATTTTTAAATATGAATCATGGGTTCAGGAGAGATTGGAGATTCAACAAAATGATCTTTTAATTTTTTTTAAAGTTACAGATAGACATAATACCTTTATTTTATTTATTTATATGGTGCTGAGGATCTAACACAGTGCCTCACACCTGCTAGACAAGTGCTCTACTACTGAGCTAAAACCTCAGCCCCAATAGAATGATACTTAAAACTGAAAACAGATGAGATCCCTTAATGCAAGTGCAGAAGGAAGAGCAGAGGGAGAAGTCAGGAGAAGGAGGGAAGCCAGTCATGAAACTAACAAGTAGCTGCCAGTGAGAAAATGGTGGTTGTGCAAAGCAAGAGTGGAAACTCTTTCAAGAAGGAAAAGGTAGACAAATGAGGGTTTCCTAGTGCTGCTGAGAGGTAGAGTAAGAAAAGAACAGAGAAATATCCTTGATGTTTGACAACAGCAATTTCTTTTTCAGTGACAAAAGAAGCCAGACTTGAGAGTAACAGGAGGTGGGTCAGTGTAGGCTCCTCACTTTCCACCATCCTGTTCCTTGCTAACATTGTCATTCTTTATGGTTCCTCAACTGCATCAATATACACAGCCAAGGAGTCATTACATATTCACCTAATTGTGATAATCTATGCTTATTTTAGGATCTGGACGATGTGTTGGAAAAAGCCAAGAAGGTAAGTCAGTACCTATAGTTGTCTCCCTTGTTCTTCTTTGTCTTTCCTGCTAATCTCAAACTGTAACTAATTTCAAGCTGAAACAGTTTGAAGTTTAGATATACTATGTTGATGTTGTTTCAGTAGTTAATAAGTGGCATTTGTACAAATGCTTACTCTATGCCAGGAACCAAGCTAAGCCCTTTCTTTTTTTTTTTATAGATTTTTTTTATTGGTTGTTCAAAACATTACATACTTCTTGACATATCATATTTCATACATTAGATTCAAGTGGGTTATGAACTCCCATTTTTACCCCAAATACAGATTGCAGAATCACATCGGTTACACATCCACATTTTTACATAATGCCATATTAGTAACTGTTGTATTCTGCTACCTTTCCTATCCTCTACTATCCCCCCTCCCCTCCCCTCCCATCTTCTCTCTCTACCCCATCTACTGTAATTCATTTCTCTCCTTGTTTATTTTCCCATTCCCCTCACAACCTCTTATATGTAATTTTGTATAACAATGAGGGTCTCCTTCCATTTCCATGCAATTTCCCTTTTCTCTCCCTTTCCCTCCCACCTCATGTCTCTGTTTAATGTTAATCATTTCCTCCTGCTCTTCCTCCCTGCTCTGTTCTTAGTTGCTCTCATTATATCAAAGAAGACATTTGGCATTTGTTTTTTAGGGATTGGCTAGCTTCACTTAGCATAATCTGCTCTAGTGCCATCCATTTCCCTGCAAATTCCATGATTTTGTCATTTTTTAGTGCTGCGTAATACTCCATGGTGTATAAATGCCACATTTTTTTATCCATTCATCTATTGAAGGGCATCTGGGTTGGTTCCACAGTCTAGCTATTGTGAATTGTGCTGCTATGAACATCGATGTGGCAGTATCCCTGTAGTACGCTGTTTTAAGGTCTTCAGGGAATAGTCGAGAAGGGCAATAGCTGGGTCAAATGGTGGTTCCATTCCCAGCTTTCCCAGGAATCTCCATACTGCTTTCCAAATTGGCCGCACCAATTTGCAGTCCCACCAGCAATGTACAACAGTACCCTTTTCCCCACATCCTTGCCAGCACTTGTTGTTTGACTTCAGAATGGCTGCCAATCTTACTGGAGTGAGATGGTATCTTAGGGTGGTTTTGATTTGCATTTCTCTGACTGCTAGAGATGGTGAGCATTTTTTCATGTACTTGTTGATTGATTGTATGTCCTCCTCTGAGAAGTGTCTGTTCAGGTCCTTGGCCCATTTGTTGATTGGGTTATTTGTTTTCTTATTGTCTAATTTTTTGAGTTCTTTGTATACTCTGGATATTAGGGCTCTATCTGAAGTGTGAGGAGTAAAAATTTGTTCCCATGATGTAGGCTTCCTATTTACCTCTCTTATTGTTTCTCTTGCTGAGAAAAAACTTTTTAGTTTAAGTAAGTCCCATTTGTTGATTCTTGTTATTAACTCTTGTGCTATGGGTGTCCTATTAAGGAATTTGGAGCCCGACCCCACAATATGTAGATCAGAGCCAACTTTTTCTTCTATCAGACGCAGAGTCTCTGATTTGATATCAAGCTCCTTGATCCATTTTGAGTTAACTTTTGTGCACGGCGAGAGGAGGGGATTCAGTTTCATTTTGTTGCATATGGATTTCCAGTTTTCCCAACACCATTTGTTGAAGATGCTATCCTTCCTCCATTGCATGCTTTTAGCCCCTTTATCAAATATAAGATAGTTGTAACTTTGTGGATTAGTCTCTGTGTCCTCTATTCTGTACTATTGGTCCACCCGCCTGTTTTGGTACCAGTACCATGCTGTTTTTGTTACTATTGCTCTGTAATATAGTTTGAAATCTGGTATCGCTATACTGCCTGATTCACACTTCCTGCTTAGAATTGCTTTTGCTATTCTGGGTCTTTTATTTTTCCATATGAATTTCATGATTGCTTTATCTATTTCTACAAGAAATGCCGTTGGGATTTTGATTGGCATTGCATTAAACCTATAGAGAACTTTTGGTGATATCGCCATTTTGATGATGTTAGTTCTGCCTATCCATGAACAGGGTATATTTTTGCATCTTCTAAGATCTTCTTCTACTTCTCTTTTTAGGGTTCTGTAGTTTTCATTGTATAAATCCTTCACCTCTTTTGTTAGGTTGATTCCCAAGTATTTTTTTTTTGAGGATATTGTGAATGGAGTGTTTTTCCTCATTTCCATTTCAGAAGTTTTGTCGCTGATATACAGAAATGCCTTTGATTTATGCGTGTTAATTTTATATCCTGCCACTTTGCTGAATTCATTTATTAACTCTAGCAGTTTCTTTGTAGACCCTTTTGGGTCTGTTAAATATATTATCATGTCATCTGCAAATAGTGATAATTTAAGTTCTTCTTTTCCTATTTTTATGCCTTTAATTTCTTTCGTCTGTCTAATTGGTCTGGCCAGTGTTTCGAGAACTATATTGAATAGAAGTGGTGATAGAGGGCATCCCTGTCTTGTTCCAGATTTTAGAGGGAATGCCTTCAATTTTTCTCCATTCAGAATGATGCTAGTCTGAGGCTTAGTATAGATAGCTTTTACAATGTCGAGGTAGGTTCCTGTTATCCCTAGTTTTTCTAATGTTTTGAACATAAAGTGATGCTGTACTTTGTCGAATGCTTTTTCTGCGTCTATCGAGATGATCATATGGTTCTTATCTTTAAGTCTATTGATATGGTGAATAACATTTATTGATTTCCGTATATTGAACCATCCTTGCATCCCAGGGATGAATCCTACTTGATCATGGTGCACAATTTTTTTGATGTGCCTTTGTATCCGATTCGCCAGAATTTTATTGAGGATTTTTGCATCTAGGTTCATCAGAGATATTGGTCTGTAGTTTTCTTTCTTTGAGGTGTCTTTGTCTGGTTTCGGAATCAGGGTGATGTTGGCCTCATAGAATGAATTTGGAAGAGCTCCCTCTTTTTCTATTTCCTGAAATAACTTGAAAAGTATTGGTATTAATTCTTCTTTAAAGGTTTTGTAAAACTTCGCTGTATACCCATCCGGTCCTGGGCTTTTCTTGGTTGGTAGTCTTTTGATTGCTTCTTCTATTTCATCCATTGATATTGGTCTGTTCAAATTGTGTGTATCCTCCTGACTCAGTCTGGGCAAATCATATGACTTAAGAAATTTATCGATGTCTTCACTATCTTCTATTTTATTGGAATATAGGATTTCAAAATAATTTCTAATTGTCTTCTGTATTTGTGTAGCATCTGTTGTGATATTGCCTTTTTCATCCCGTATGTTAGTAATTTGAATTCTCTCTCTTCTTCTCTTTGTTAGCATGGCTAAGAGTCTGTCAATCTTATTTATTTTTTCGAAGAACCAACTTTTAGTTTTGTTAATTTTTTCAATAGTTTCTTTTGTTTCAATTTCGTTGATTTCCGCTCTGATTTTAATTATTTCTTGCCTTCTGCTACATTTGCTGTTGTTTTGCTCTTCCTTTTCTAGGGCTTTGAGGTGAAGTGTGAGCTCATTTATTTGTTGGTTTTTCCTTTTTTTGAGGAATGACCTCCAGGCGATGAATTTCCCTCTTAAAACTGCTTTCATTGTGTCCCATAGATTCCGATATGTTGTGTCTGTATTTTCATTTATCTCTAAGAATTTTTTGATTTCCTCCTTAATGTCTTCTGTGACCCATTGATCATTCAGTAACATATTGTTCATTTTCCATGTGATGTAGGATTTTTCCTTCCTTCTTTTATCATTGATTTCCAGTTTCATTCCATTATGATCAGATAAAATGCATGGTATTATCTCCACCCCTTTATATTTACTGAGGGTTGCCCTATGGCATAATATATGGTCTATTTTTGAGAAGGATCAAGTGCTGCTGAGAAAAAAGTATATCCACTTGATGATGGTTGATATATTCTATATATGTCCGTTAAGTCTAGGTTATTGATTGTGATATTGAGTTCTATAGTTTCTTTATTCAACTTTTGTTTGGAGGATCTGTCCAATGGTGAGAGAGGTGTGTTGAAGTCACCCATAATTATTGTGTTGTGTTCTATTTGATTCTTGAACTTGAGGAGAATTTGTTTTATGAACGTCGCAGCACCATTATTTGGTGCATAAATATTGATAATTGTTATGTCTTGTTGGTGAATGGTTCCTTTTAACAGTATATAATGTCCTTCCTTATCCCTTTTTTTTTTTTTTAATATTTATTCTTTTTTTAGTTTTCGGTGGACACAACATCTTTGTTTGCATGTGGTGCTGAGGATCGAACCCGGGCCGCACGCATGCCAGGCAAGCGTGCTACCGCTTGAGCCACATCCCCAGCCCCTCCCTTTTGATTAACTTAGTCTTGAAGTTGATTTTATTCGATATGAGGATGGCCACCCCTGCTTGCTTACGAGGACCGTGTGCGTGGTACATTTTTTCCCAACCTTTCACCTTCAGCCTGTGTATGTCTTTTCCAATCAGATGTATCTCCTGGAGGCAGCATATTGTTGGATTTGTTTTTTTAATCCATGTTACCAGCCTATGTCGCTTTATTGGAGAGTTTAAGCCATTAACGTTTAGAGTTACTATTGATATATGGTTTGTACTTCCAGCCATGTTTGATTATTTATCTTTTTTTTTTTAATTTAGTTTGTTTCTCCATGATTAGCTTTCCCCCCGCCCTCTGTCTGTACTGAGGCACTTCCCATTGATGGTTTTGGTTATTGTTTTTCATTTCTTCCTCGTGTAGTGTTTTGCTCAAGATGCTTTGCAATGCTGGTTTTCTGTCTGCAAATTCTTTTAACTTTTATTTATCATGAAAGATTTTTATTTCGTTGTCGTACCTGAAGCTTAATTTTTCTGGATACAGAATTCTTGGTTGGCATCCATTGTCTTTCAGTGTTTGAAATACGTTGTTCCAGGATCTTCTCTCTTTCAGCGTCTGTGATGAAAAATCCGTTGTTAACCTTATTGGTTTACCCCTGAATGTAATATGCCTCCTTTTTCTTGTAGCTTTTAATATTTTCTCTTTGTTCTGTATATTGGATATATCCATAATAATGTGTCTTGGCGTTGGTCTACTGTGATGCTCGGTGTCCTGTATGCATCTACAATTTGTATATCCGTTTCCTTTTTTATTTCTGGGATGTTTTCTCTAATTATTTCATTCAGCAGGTTATTCATTCCCTTGGTTTGAATCTCTATACCTTCCTCTATCCCGATGACTCTTAAGTTTGGTTTTTTTATGTTATCCCATATCTCTTGGATGTTTTTCTCATGAATTTTTACCAGCCTTTCTGAGTTGGCTAGACTCTTTTCAAGATGATATATTTTGTCTTCATTATCTGAAGTTCTGGCTTCTACTTGCTCCACTCTGTTAGTGATACTCTCATTTGAGTTTTTAATTTGGTTTATAGTTTCCTTCATTTCTAGAATTATTGTTTGGTTTTTTTTATAATCTCTATCTCCTGATAAAGATGCTTAACTTCTTCTTTTATCTGTTTATGTAATTCATTTTCAATGAGTTCTTTCACTGTTTGAATTTGCTGTCTCATATCCTCTTTAACGTTCCATTCCATCTGTCTAAGGTATTCCTTGAGTTCTTTATTTGACCATTTTTCTGATGCCTCTAGGTCCTCCTGAATATTTAGGCTGTCCTGCATTGTTTGTACTCCTTTTCTTCCTTGCTTTTTCATGCTGCTCATGTTACTTCTTGTTTTGTTTGACTGCTGAGTTACTGTTTAATCCTATAAATTTATTTGATGCTGTCACCGCTGGTTTCAATGAAGTTATCTCCTCCGCCGCATTCTGGTGACGTCAGTTCTCTGCCATGGTAGTATCCCATGCAAATGGTGACAGTTCGTTCCCTTTGCCGGGTGACCAATGCAACGGGTGGGTCCTGACTGTCTCTCCCAAGCCCCGTTTCAATCCTGTGGCCACTGCCTATGAAGGCTCGGTTGGCATTAACCTCCATAGGATCAGAAGAGCCGACCAGTTGTTTCAGCGGGATCATTTAGTGCTGAGTCACAGTGGTTTGTCTTTCACCAAGCCCGGCTTCTCCTGCTTCCACCTGGACATGTCTGGGGCTCCCGGCGCTCAGTTGCCCTCCGCAGCCGGCTCCCCCCACCGCCCCCCGCTGCTCCGGGTAGCCCTTCTCCTCTTTCTCCACCTGCCTCTTGGAAACTTTTTTTTTTGCAGCCAGGTCAGTGGCTTTGGGGAGCAGACAGCAGGTCGGGGCGGCCTTGGAGGGGGGGGCAGCCTGGACAGCCGAGGCCGCTCGGGGAAGGAGGGATGCCCAGGGGGCACGCCAGGCCCTGCCTGTTTCAATGTGGCAGCTGGGGTCTTCCAGTCCCAGCAGCGGTCACAGGGAGTCCGGAGGCCACTCCAAGCTAAGCCCTTTCTGAATTTTATCTCACTTAATGTTTTATAACCCTCTGAGGAAGTACTATTTTGTAGCCAACCATTTCCCATTTGATAGATGACACAGTTAAGGCCGAGAAATTAGTATCTCTAGTTCAAAGACACATGCTAGTGAAGTGATAGAGACAGGTTAGTCTGAATTCAAAACATATTCCTGAAACCACCATTCTTACTAGTCTTGTATAACAGAATGGTCCATCTGTAAGTTCTTAAATTCACATTATTCTGGAGATTGGGGATATATTATAAAAGTTTTCTGAAACATTTTTATTTCCTAGAAAAATTATTAGTTTTTGGAAATGTTTATGAAATCCATCATAACTAGCGTTTCGCTGTCTAATCAGAAAGTGGTAGAGTCTGGGTGTGGTGGCTCATGCCTGTGATCCCAACTACTCAGAAAGCTGAGGCAGGAGGATCATGAGTTTGAGGACAGCCTGGGCTACTTAGTGAGACCCTGCCTTAAAACTGAATTTAGAAAAAGGGCTAGGGATGCAACTCAGTGGTAGAGCACTTGCCTAACATGCCCAAGGCCCTGGGTTGGATCCTTATTATTTGGGGGGGGGGGGGGGGGGGGGGCGGGGGGAGAGTAATAGAATTAGAAATGATTGCCAATATCTTTTTACATACAGCCTAATTAGGTGGGTGGGCTTTACAATCCCACAGGCCTAATGACCTATTTAAGCTATTTGACTGTATTCAAAACTCTGCTACTGATCTATACAGTGGATTATAACAATACATACCTCCTAGGTCTGTGTATATTAAGGGAGATAATATTTATATTAACTGAGCCTGGGGCCTGAAACAGTAAGTACTCAGTGTTAGCCATTATTATTATATTAATAATAAAAGCCTGAGTAAATAAAAATAACTAAATTTAAAATTTGAATTTGAATTAAATGTGTGATGTGTATTGTTTGGGACTCTTAACTATTCTATTTTTTTTTTTCAGGCCAATGTTATGGCCCTTGTAGCAGTTGCTGAACATTCAGGAGAATTTGAAAAGATTATGCAGCTTTCAGAAAGGTACTCCTTCTAATTAAAATTTTAAAGAATTGCTATTAAGGACACTTATATCAGTTATATAACATCAAATATTTATTTTTAAAGAGAATGGGAGGAAAAGCATATTAGCATAGTCCTAAAATTAAGATTCTTTTCTACTTTATAATGACACTGTAGTTGCCTACTCTATATTCCTGTGTTCTTAATTTATTCTACATTTTTAGATACAGCGGGTTCATTCTGCCATGCTTGGGTGTTCACCCAGTTCAAGAACTTTCACCAGAAGACCAAAGAAGTGTTACATTAAAGGTAATAGTCACATAAAACAAGACCCATAAAAATGATAATAACTTTTTAAAAAATTTTTTTAATTGTAGATGGACACAATACCTTTATTTTATTCATTTATTTCTATGTGGTGCTGAGGATCAAACCCAGTTCTTCACACATCCTAGGCAAGAGCTCTATCACCAAGCTCTACCCCAGCTCCTGGTAATAACTTTGACCCAGTTATCCTCCTCTTTCTAATTTATATTCTAAGAAAGTAATCCATTCATTCACAAAAAAAATTGTTATGACATTATTTATAGTAGAGAAAAATAGAAACAGCCGCAAGGTTCAGAAATAAAGGAATCATTAACTGACTTGTAGAATGTTAATTATAATTCAGTTATAGAAAATGAGAATTATGAAGTTATTGTAGCACATGAAAAATGTTTACTAAGGAGAAAAACAATACCAAATAGTTTATTGACTATTAGTAACATTCATGTAAAAACATATTCCAAGCTGGGCACCGTAGTGCATGCCTGTAATCCCAACAGCTTGGGAGGCTGAGGCAGGAGGATTTCAAGTTCAAAGCCAGCTTCAGCAAAAAGCGAGGCGCTAAGCAACTCAGTGAGACCCTATCTCTAAATAAAATACAAAAATAGGGCTGGGGATGTGGCTCAGTGGTTGAATGCCCCTGAGTTCAATCCCCAGTACCCCAAAAAATAATAATAATAAAAATATATTCCACAAGGAAAAGACTGGAAAGAAAAACACAGAAATGATAGTAATTATGATGATCTGATAGAATTATAAATTACTTTATTCCACATTTTTTTGTCCTGTAGTCATATTTCTTTGGAAAAAAAGTGATAGAATATATCTAGAAAAAGAAAGATACAAAGATTCACAGGTATAATTGGGTTCTCTGAACATGAAAGCATCTCTTCAGAATTGCTCTCAAGCTATTAAATTGCATTGATATTATACTCTCTCTAAAATCATCCTATCCACATGGTCTCACTGACTCACTGTATTCAATATGTGTTATATTTCATGCTTGTCTCCTGACTCAGCATCATGAAGATGCACAATTTTTTGAGTTTTTTTGTTATATAATGGAGTTGATAGATCATTTCAAAGAAGTAATTACCCTTTGGTTAGGGCCATCGACTTTTATACTAATGTATTTAGTATATTCCTACATTAAAGATGGTAACAAGGTGTGATTTATATTTTAAAAAGATCCCTTTGTCTACGGTATGAAGAATGAATTCTGAGGAGGGCAAAAAAGAAAAAAGGATAGTTAGAAGGCTATTGCAGTAGTTCACGTGAGAATAATGATGGGTTGAACCAAAGTGAGAGTGGTACAGGTAAAGAGAAGTGAATGAATTTGGCATATGTTTTAGATAGCTTTTCACCACTATGACCAAAATACCCAGCAAGAACAACTTAGAGGGGGTAAAGTTGATTGGGGGCTCATAGTTTTGGAGATTTTCATCCATAGACAGCCAACTTCATTGCTCTGGGTGAGGCAGCACATCATAGGAGAAAGGCCCAGTGCAGGAATTCTGCTCAGCTCACAGTGAGATCAGGAAGTGGAGAGAGAAAGAGGAAGGGACTGCAGGTAGAACAGCCCTTCCAGGGCATGCCCCCAGTGAACCACCTTCTCCAGCCAGGATGGACTGATTAGGTCTCATAGTCTAATCATTTTACATTTAACTACTCCTGCATTAACAGGAAACTTTGGGGGATACCTTATATCCAAACCATAATAGCAAATAATTTATTTCAAAATAAAATTGCTTTGCCAGGCATGGTGGTTCATGGCTGTTATCCTAGCATCTCTGGAGGCTGAGGCAGGAGGGTTATGAGTTCAAAGCCAGCTTCTGCAATTTAGCAAGGCCCAAAGCAACTTAGCAAGACCCTGTCTCAAAAAATAAAATAAAATAAAAAATTTTAAAGGCTGAGGATGTGGCTCAGTGATTAAGCACTCCTGAGTTCAATCCCTGGTACCAAAAAAAAAAAAAAAAAGAAAGAAAGAAAGAAAAGAAAAGAAATTGCTTTTAATTCACTTCAGGTAAAAATGCTTATCCTCTTGTCCTCCTGAGTTGTTGAGTATGATACAATTAGCTTAACTGCCAGAGAATCACAATCCAAAATGTTGGAAACCAGAGCAGGACAGCACTCCAAAGGATCTCTACTATTTATATAGAGGTCTATTACCATAAGTGTTCATTTAGTTAACCAGTGTTTACTGAGCACCTACTATGTGCCAGCCCCTCCTCTGAGCAGTAGAGACCTGACAATGAGTAAAAACCCTCTCATGGAAGCTAGATTTTAGATGGGACAATCAACAATTATATAAACCAGAAAACTTTCAAAGCACTAAGTGCTTTGAAAAAAAATGATTATTTGATAGGAATTTGGATGGTGTTTTGCTGTTGTTGTTTTGTTTAATTTTACTTTATATTTTTTTGAGGTACTGGGGATAGAAGAAATAGAAGGCTGATATGGCTAAAGGGATAGAGAAAGTGATAATGATAGAATCAGAAGAATTGGACAGATATCTCATAAAGACCTTGTTCGATTTTAGTTTACATGTAATGGAGGATGTAAAGTGTGGAGTGACAAGATGTGATTTATGTCTTTAAAAGATCCAGTTGGCTATAATAATCCAAAATTTTACCAAATTATACTTCCTAACTAACTGCCAGGAAATGTCTGTAAACAGAGGGCAATGATTAAATGGGACTCTTCGTTGAAAAGTCATATTTTTATAATCTGAATAGGTATGGGATAAGTTTCTACTCAGACTATAGCTAGAAGTACTCACAATTATAGAAGGGTTACTATTCTTAGTTCATTAACCGGTTAAATACATTAAATGAATGTAAAGTATCGGCATAGCATAGAGCCTAGCACTCAATATGTGCTCATGAAATAGTAGTTCCCTTCTTCCATTTTAACAAATTTACTTTTTGTTCTCCCAGGATTTGGATTTAGCTTTGCCTATCATCGAGAAGTATAAGGATCAGTTGTTGGCAATTGGAGAGGTAAAGACCCATTAGCTGATCAAACAACTTTTAATCTAGACCTCCAAATGATATATGATAGGTGAAGATAATCCTTAGTTTCATATTGGTGATTATAACTGACTTGAATAATTATGTTCACTTCATTCAGCTGAATTTGTTGAGAGTTCCTCAATAAGCAAGAGAGCATGGGGATGAAAGAATAGAAAACCATAGGCTTTATTAATAAGAGAGAAAAACTATACTAATAGCATTTCTAAATACTTTGCTTTTTATTTTTTCCTTTTGCTTAAATGTAGATCATTGCTTTTGTTAGTTAAAGTTGTGCCTGTGTGTGTGTGTGTGTGTGTGTATCCCTTCATAAGTAATTTAAAAGCAAACTTTAAATAGGGTATAGTTTGTAACAGTTTTATTTAAATTATTTATAATGCTAAAATATTTTCATCACCTATTAATAAAGTCCATTTCTTATTCAAGATAGAAGAATAACATTCAAACTTAGAGTACAGATAATAGAATGCATGCCAATATAGTATCAAAGGAAACAGTCATCTATGATCTATGCTGTCCAGTGTGATAACCACATGTAGCTGTTGAACACTTGAAATATGAGTCCTCCAAATTGAAATGGGCTGTAAGTGTAAAACACATACTGAATTTCAAAGTCCAGTACCCTCTCCCAGAAAAAATAATATAAAAAACTCAGGTTTTTGTACATGTTAAAATGATATTTTGAATCTACTGGGTTAAATAAAATAAAGTTTGTTATTAAAATTAATTTCACTTGTTTTTTTTCAATATTTTTAATGTGGCTACTATAAAATGTGAATTCCATATATGGCTTATGATGTGTTTCTATCACGTAGCACTGATTTATAGAATCTCTTTGGGGATTTATTAAGCCATAAATATGTAATTTCCTTTATTTTTCTGTTACAGGTTGGACTAGATTTCTCTCCCAGATTTGCTAACACTGATAAACAGAAGGAAGAGCAAAGACAAGTTCTAATCACACAGGTTCAATTAGCCAAAAGACTAAATTTGCCTCTGTAGGTTCACTTATCTTTCTGTATTAATAGCTATAGAGCAAATTAAATAATGACCAAAGAATCCTCCTGAAATGGAGTTCTGCATCTCTTTTTTCTCTGAATTATTGAACAAAAATAATACTTTCAGATTTCCAAGTATTAAAAGGAATTTTGTTGTTATTAAACAGAAACGTTCACTCGCGCTCAGCTGGAAGACCTACCATCAGCCTCTTGCAGGAACAAGGTATTTAAGATTCCTGAGAGACATGTGTCTAATCTTCAAGTTTGACATTTCTAGTTCCTAATCTCATAGAGCAAGCCACGTTTTGATTTGATTTCTTAAAGAGAAGGGAATGAGGCAAGAGCAAAGACAGAAATCAGCTAAGGTGATTTTGCAAGTCAGGGTACTTTTTACAAGGGTTTCACGCAATATATTTAACAGGACAGGATAGAGCAAATGAAAACTTGAATCAATTTATATTCCTTACTTTAAAAATCAGTAGCTCCAGTTTGGTTTCGTTTTTTTGTTTGTTTGTTTGTTTTTTCCTTTTGGTACCAGGGATTGAACCCAGTGGGGCTTAACCACCAAGCCACATCACCAGCCCTTTTTTTATATTTTATTTAGAGACAGGCCCTCACTAAGTTGCTGAGGCTGGGTTTGAACTTTCGATTCTCCTGCCTCAGCTTCTCACTGCTGAGATTACAGACATGCGCCACTGTGCCCAGCAGCAACTCCAGCTTCTAAGTCACCATGAGTAACATGAAAGAAGAAAACAAGGCAAGGCAGGGCAATCACACAACAGTCATCTTGGATCAGTGTTTTGTAGGTTTTCTGCCTATTGCTTCACAAAATAATACTGTACTGATTATGGCCATTATACATAAAATGCACTGTCATCTTCATGGTTGTCCCTAAAGTAAAAACATATCTGATAGCATTATTTTTTTTAAATGCCATCCACAGTAAGAAATTTTCTTTATTTTGAGACTCATATGCACATAAAGAAAGCTAACATTTTTCATAAGCAGCACATATATGTGTATTTGTATGTAAATGTATTTAAGTGTATGCAAGCCCATGCTTGTGGGTTATCACCTACTAAATTGATTTCGTAGCCCATTTATTGTCATAACTCATAGTCACCCATACCATTTGAAAAAACACTGTCAATTAATGAAGCAGATGTAATTGCCTGCAATTAAACATTGTATTTCTCAGTGATGAATACTAAACACTTCTGAAATCACTGAAAACAGGATTTTTTTTACATTTTTTTAAATTTTTAGTTCTAGATGGACACAATACCTTTATTTATTTATTTTTATGTGGTCCTGAGGATCGAACCCATTGCCTCATCTACTAGGCAAGTGCTCTGCCACTGAGCCTCAACCCCATGATTGAAAACATGATTTTTATGCTGACTGAGCAATTGTCCTTTAAGAACTAGAGTTGATTTTATGAAGCCAACTCTTAATTGTTTAATTTGTGAGTCATCTAGCTCTCCATTTCTTTTTTATTAGCATTTTTTTTTTTTTTTAGGAAAATAAATGTGCCTAAAGATCTTCTACTGGGGCAATAATTTGACAATTCAAAGACTTCTGGAAAAAAATCTGAGGGTATAGGCAGTTTAAATAATTGTTTTTTAAATTGTTTAAATTTTATTTAAAAGAATTTATTTTTTATGACCAATGTGATTCTGCAATCTGTACAATCAGAAAAATGAGAAATTATACCCCAATTGATTCAAATGTATGAATTGCCAAGATCATTGTAATGTCATGTGTAGCTAATAAAAAAAATAAAATAATAAAATATAAAAAATTTTTAAAAATTTATTTTTAATATTTATTTAGTTGTAAATGAACACACAGTATCTTTATTTATTTTTATGTGGTGCTGAGGATTGAACCCAGTGCCTCATACATGCAAGGCAAGTGCTTTATCACTGAGCTACAGCCCCAGCCCAAGAATATTTTTTATTCTATTTATTGAACATTGTATTTATCTAACCTGAAGTCATAGAATCTTGCCTTTATATCGCAGTGACCAAGATTTACTAGAATTTCAAATCTCTGTAGTTCAATTTGACTAAAGAGAAAAACTTTTCTTAAGGAAACAAAATGGAACACTGATTTATCTTTAATTTTGGAAGGTGCTGATAAGGTACTGCTGCATGCGTTTGATGGCCGGCCATCTGTAGCCATGGAAGGAGTAAGAGCTGGGTACTTCTTCTCAATTCCACCTTCTATCATAAGAAGTGGACAGGTAAGTTCTTTCATTAAAACTTATCATCCGATACTTTGTGAAATGTACTTTAAAATATAGGCTTTGACGGGCTGGGGATGTGGCTCAAGCAGTAGCGCGCTCGCCTGGCATGCGTGCGGCCTGGGTTCAATCCTCAGCACCACATACAAACAAAGATGTTGTGTCCGCCGATAACTAAAAAATAAATATTAAAAAAATTAAAAAAATATATATATAGGCTTTGACAACATACTTATGATACTATTCTAGTTACATTTCAAAAATTAAACTCAGGTCTCTATCTCACATATATATGTAAATTAATTAAAAACTAGATTACAGACCTAAATATAGGAGCTAAAATTTCTAAAACCCTCAGAAGAAAATAGGTCTAAATATTTTGACCTGGGTTTTGCAGTGGTTTCCCTAGCTACAACAACAAAAACATAAGCAACCAAAGAAAAAATATATATATTAGCCATTATCAAAATTCACAACTTCTGCAATTAAAAAAAGAGACATATACTTCAAAGCATTCTGTCAATAAGGTGGAAAGACAACCCACATAAAGAGAAAAAAAAATCTGCAAGTCATGTATCTGATAAAAGTTCAGGTATCTAGAATACGTAACATACCATTACAGCTCAACAATTAAAAAAAAAAACTTGATTTTAAAAATTGGTAAAGGATTTACAAAGATATTTTTCTCAAGAAAACATCAAGTGACCATAAGTGCATAAACATGCTCAATATTATTCTCCATTATGTTAATGCCAATCAAAGGCACAGTGAGATGCTACACCACCCAACTCAGTTTAGTAGTTACTCAAAAAATTAAAGGTAAATAGAAAGAAACACTGAATGTGGCAGTGGTGGGCCAATGACGGAATTCTCTTCTTTGGGTCTTTCAGAAGATATGTGATATCAGATATTTGAATTTCTTGATGGATATACTTCATTTTTGCTATGGTTATAACTAGAAGCTTAGTTCCCTGGAAGCTTTGAATAAGTTTATCAATGAGTGTTTATATTTTAACGATAACTGTTAATAGTGGAATAATGTGAACATAGTAGGAATCCAGGTAGTATTTATCAATTTAGTATTAAAGCCTGAATTTTAGTTTCTTCTGGAATGATGCATATGGGTTTAATATTTTATCTGTATTTCTCACATTTTAATTTTATTGCCTTTCTCTTTTCTCTAAGAAGCAGAAACTTGTGAAACAGTTGCCTTTAACTTCCATCTGCTTAGAAACAGATTCACCTGTGCTAGGACCAGAAAAACAGGTAAATGATTTTTCAATTTGAATATTATTTAGGTTGTATCTTTCATTTTAGCTGTTTCAGTTTAACTATGTTTTTCAGTATAGTGTAAATACAGTGGAATCCTAATGCTAGGTTGATTGTTTACACTGAGTTTTTTAAAATTATTTTTTAGTTGTCAATGGACCTTTATTTTGTTTATTTATATGTGGTGCTGAGAATCAAACCCAGTGCCTCACACATGCTAGGCAAATGCTCTATCACTGAGCCACTACCCCAGTCCCTTTATTGAGTTTTTTTCTAAATACAGCTTTTGTGCTACAAACAATGTTATTTGTTAGGGAGCATGGCCTAATTTATGTAATAAAACACAGTGTCTAGAATCAGAAAGATTTGATTCAAATTTTGTTTCTGTTGCTGACTAGATGACTTTGGGTAAGCTTTTTAATCTCTCTGAAACTTTTTTTTCTTTCATTTATAAAATGTGGGCAAAAGAATACTATACTTTAAGGATTATGGTAAGGACTACATGAAGGTACTTGAAAGCACCTAACAGCAGCTGGTATATTGTAGGTGATCAATAAATATTCATTTTTCTCCTTTTAATTAGCTTGTTATTATGTATTTCTTTCATTACAAGTATTGATATTATCAAAGATTTTTGTATCTGATCATTGCTATAGAATCTCATTTTGTTATTATAGACCACAAAGAATCACCTTTTAAATTTCATAGTTTCATATTGCTACTGCTTTAAATTATAATTTTCTGAAAGGAAGTCACAGCATCTGCTTTTTATTTGCTTTAGACAGTGTCTGTTACAGTTAGCTCATAATGTACAATTTGATAACTGCTTGTGATGTCTATTGGATCTGTGTCTCCACACCTCCCAAATTCAGAGAACTGTCCCTCAAAATTTGGAGGTCTAGAAGCAGCAGAAATCATTATGTGATTATTAACAAACGATGATTATTTGTGATTGCAATGTGAATTATACTAATTAATGTCCAATTAACTACATTTTTAGTGGGGAGGGTACTGGGGATTTCACTCAGGGGCACATGGCCACCGAGACACATCCCCAGCCCAATTTTGTATTTTATTTAGAGACAGGGTCTCACTGAGTTGCTTAGCACTTCACTTTTGCTGAGGCTGACTTTGAACTTGTAATCCTCCTGTCTCAGCTTCCCAAGCCAGTAGGATTATAGGCATGCACCACCATACCTGTTTAATTAACTACATTTTTGTAAATCCTTTTTTATCAAAGTATAAAAGCCAGGAACAAGAAAGTAGAGGATCATAACTTCTTTTTTCTATTTGGGTATAGGTCAGAATAGTATAGAATTACTGTCCTGATGTGTTAAATGAAAGAAAAGGATCTAGCATTTTTCTCCTAAACGAGAATAAATTTTGAATGCTGTTATAACTCAGTTTTTTTATTTGTATTTAGATGATTTAACAAAAACTGAGTTTGTGGCATAGTGCCTTGTACTAAGTAGGTATTCAATAAACATTTTTTGTATGTATGTGTGTATATAGATGTGTGTGTGTGTGTGTGTGTGTGTGTGTTTGGTGGTGCTGGGTATCAAACCCACAGCCTCACTAGCCAGGGCTCTACCACTGAACTACATCCTCAGCCCTAAACATTTATTCTGGAAAGTTAGAAACAGGGAAGATCATGAACAAGAAAATAAAACTATCTGCCACACTATAATAGTTACAGGCATAAACTCTAAAGTCAGATTGCTTGGGTTTAACCTCAGCTGGCCTTCTTGCTATCTGTGTAGGATGTTTTTTTACCTACTAGAAAAAGAGGTACTACTAGTAATAGTACCTACTGCATGGAGTTATTTTGAGGATTAAATGAAATATTTCATGAAAAGTTTATAACAGAGAGTCATCTATAAAAAAAGCACTAAATAAATGTAAGTTCTCTGTCCGTCCAGACTTTTTATATCCATGTATGTATATATACATATATTTCATAAAAATAGGATTAGCCTGAATGTATTATTTCGTAATTTCCTTTTATGTATGCACTTCTGCCTATATTAACAAATATACTTTCCATATCATGTTTAACAACTATATAATATTCCAATGTTAAAAGTAAATATGCAATCAGTGATTTGAAAAATTGTGCTCTATATGTGTAATATGAAATGAATTGCATTCTGCCATTGTATAACAAATTATAATAAATAAATAATTTAATTTTTTTAAAAAAGTAAATATTTGGGCTGGGATTGTGGCTCAGTGGTGGAGCGCTCGCTTAGCAGGGGCGGGACCCAGGTTCGATTCTCAGCACCACATAAAAATAAAGGCATTATGTTGTGTCCATCTACAAAAAAAAAAAAAAAAAAAAAAGTTTCATTTTCTCTCTCTCTCTCTCTCTCTCTCTCTCAAAAAAAAAAAAAAAAAGTAAATATTGGCTGGGTGCAATGGTACACGCCTATAATCTCAGTGGCTTGGGAGGCAGAGGCAGGAGGATTGTGAGTTCAAAGCTAGACTCAGCAAAAGCTAGGTGTTAAGCCACTCAGTGAGACCCTGTCTCCAAATAAAATACAAAATAAGGATGGGGATGTGGCTCAGTGGTCAAGTGCCCCTGAGTTCAATTTCTGGTTCTAAATAAATAAATAAATAATAAATATTGGCCATTTAGATTGTATTATAAACAATGTGATGAACATACTTGAACATAAATTTTTGTGCACATTTTTTATTGTGTTGTTAGGCTACATTAATTACTAAGGTTTTTTAACGTTAACAATTAATATTATTCCTCTGAATATTATCACCATGAGTAAATGCTTATTAATAATAACAGTAATTATTTATTTCATCAAATCTAAATGCTACTGATTGTAGGTACAATATATTAAGAAAGAAAAAACACTGCATGTTGTACTAAGACATGCCACTGAGTGTCAGTAAAATATATATATCCATTTCATAGATGTTAAGATGGGGTGGGGAGAAATGCATCTTGGAATCAGTGAAATTCCATTATATAGGCTATCTGGTCTTTCCAGATAGATGGTGTTTTTCTTTTAGTCAAACTGTCATATAACCTGTGAGGTAAGAGGCCAAGCAATAGCGTGGTGACCTTTTGGAGCACATTTACGCAACAAACTAAAGAAGAGTTGATCCATCAGACAAGTTAGTCTCCAAGTGTTCACTACTACATATTGCTTCATATGCTAGGAACTGGGACTTCATTTGTTAATACCCCAAGGCAGGAGCATAGACTTAGAATAATATTGCAGAGGTACCTTTTCTCCTGCCTTCATCAACTTATTAAGAAAAAACACTCCAATTTTTAAAAGTAAATTAATTTAAAAGAAAAAACAAGACGATCTTATCAGAAAAAAAGATTTTATCAGTTCTTTTTAGGTATATGTGACAGAGTATATTTAGACGTTATACAAGGATTAGAACTTATTCTAATTAGGATCCCATTCTTGTGGTTGTACACAATGTGGAGTTACACTGGTCGTGTATTCATATATGAACATAGGAAAGTTATGTTGGATTCATTGTACTGTCTTTCCTATTCCCATCCCCCCATCTCTTCCCTTCATTCCCCTTAGTCTAATCTACTGAGTTTCTATTCTTCCCTCCCCTACTCCTTTTTGTGTGTTAGTATCAGCATATAAGGGGAACATTCAACCTTTGCTTTGGGGGGATTGACTTATTTCACTTAGCATGATAGTCTCCAGTTCCATCCAATTACCAGCAAATGGCTGGGTAATTTTCCATTGTGAATATATATCACATTTTCTTTATCCATTTATCTATTGAAGAGCTTATCAGTTGTTTTTCACCAACTCATTTTTTTCTGTTTTATCTACAGTCTCCAAGGACCTGCTTCCCTTGAATGTCATGTTTGAATTAGTACCTGTTTTTTTTTGTTTGTTTGTTTGTTTCAGGTACGGAATGAGCCCTGCAACGTTTCTATTTCAGCTGAATATATTGCCCAAGTGAAGGGAATCTCAGTGGAAGAAGTGGTAGAAGTAACAACACAGAATGCATTGAAACTCTTTCCCAAGCTTCAACACCTGCTCCAGAAATAGCTTCAAAACCATTCATTGCATAATCAAATCAGCTTCAAGGGGCAACATTTGAGAAAAAGAAATGTACAGATTAAGAATCTGAACTGAGGCTGGGTGCAGTGGCACATGCCTGTAATCCCAGCGGCTCAGGAAGATTACAAATTCAAGCCAGTCTCAGAAACTTAGCAAGTCCCCAAACAACTTAACAAGACTCTGTCTCAAAATAAAATATCAGGGCGGGATGTGGCTCAGTAGTGGCTAAGTACCCCTGGGTTCAATCCCCAGCACACAAAAAAAGAGAAACTGAAGAGACCATTCCACAGGATACAGATGTATATTCTAGAGGAATATTTCTCTTATAAGGATAACTTGACTTGGATCCTGAAACCCTGGTTCTGATTCCAGCCTTGTGTTCCTTTTCAGTTAGCCAAGAGCTAGCAGAAAATTGGGTAAATCCTATTGCTGTTTTTTTACCTTGCCCCACTAAATAAAACCACCTTCTGAACCCAAACCATCACTTCTAGGAAGGGGTTCTCCCACAGGTAGGAAGACTTCAGCACCAACATGAGGAGGAGGTTGGGTTTGATCCCTTGCTACTTGTTTTGCTTCAATAGAACTGAACAAGTGAAAGGAAAGTCTGTTTTTTGTACCATCAGAAATCTCTTTCCTGAGTTTGTAATACTCAGTACTTGAATTATTTCTCTTTAACAGCAAAATGTGTAAGGTTTCAAAGTGATATTAGATTTTGACTTCCAAGGCCCCTGTTTAGCAGTCACTATTAAATAGCAAGCCTAAAACTTGTGCCCCTTGGCACAAAAGTTGAGTTAATAAACTAATTTAAAGTTCCAATGAATTTTGTCATATTTAAAATGTAAATGACTTTCTTAAAAATGTATCTGGCCTTTTTGGTGTATAATAATATTTTGTTTTTACATTTTAAAAAACTGTAGGGGCTGGGGATATAGCTCAATTGGTAGAGTGCCTGCTTGCATGCACAAGGCCCTAAGTTTAGTCCCCAGAACCACACACACACACACACACACACACACACACACACATCTTAACTGTAAAAACAATCCTGTAGATAGGTAGGTGGTAATGTTCATAACAACAGTGAGTGTACCCAATGCCCCTGAAATGTGCACTTCAAAATGGTTAAGATGGTGCATTTCATTTTATTTGGGGGCAGTTTTATAAATTTATTTGCCAGTAAGTGGTTAGTTCTCACTCACGTTAACTATATGCAGATTTTTGAAAATGTTAGCAGAGACATAAGTTACAAGACTATATAGAACTTGTGTGGTGAACCTTCATCCTCATTACTTCTATAGATAACTGCATATGAATACGATATGGGACATTCCCTATTCCTTTGGCTTGGACAGCTTTGTTGAGCTTGATATCAAAGCACATATCTGGAGTCTCCATCTTCTTCATAACACATTTTCAGATATGTGAGTGCCTAAGAGGCACAATTTTGAGTCTATTCCATGAATGCACTTGTGAATATTGATGGTATATTCTCAGGTCACTGCCTCATTGATGGCAAAAAGGCCCTTCTCATTACCCTTCTTTGTGGGAGCCATTCTGCCAGGCCAGGAATGGATAAGATGGTGAAAACTTATGTGTATCTTACCACAATTTAAAAATACAAATTTACTTCTATGATTTATACTAAAATCTGGGTATTCAATTTTTGCTAAGCATCAAATGCTAGAAAAGTACTTGTCATAGAAAAAAATCAACTTCCTAAAAATCAAAATGATTTCATGTAAGGAATCTTTAGTAGATATTTTGAGGTAAATTCATTTTCAGAGAAATCAAAACTAATGCTAGGGAAGATTGTCCAAACTAAAGCAGAGTAGCTAAGAAACATAATAGGGTACTTTATGAGTGTGTTAATCAACCTCCCGTTGTTCTAACAAGACACCTGAGATGATAAACTTATGAAGAAAGTAATTTTTGGCTCACAGTTTTAGAGGTTTCAGTCCATAGTTAGTTTGTCTCATTGTCTTGGGGCCTATGACAAGGCAGCACATCATGGTGGACTATATGTGATAGAAGAAAGTCACACATCTCATGTCTAGGACTTACAGCAAGAAAGGATGAGACTGGGTTCCCACCGTCCCCTTCAAGGGCATGTCCTCTTTGAGGACATGATCCCAACATTTCCCACTACATCCTGCTTCTTAAAGTTTCTACTATCTCCTACTAGCAGCAAAGGCTGGGTACTGAGTCTCCAGCACATGGACTTTGGGAAGACATTTAAGATCCAAACGTGGTGATGTACACCTGTAATCCCAACAGCTTGGGAGGCTGAGCCAGGAGGATCCCAAGTTCAAAGCCAGCCTCAGCAACTTAGCAAGGTCCTAGGTATCTTAGCAAGACCCTGACTCAAAATAAAAAAGAAAAAGCATTGGAAATGTGTCTCTGGTTAAGCACACCTGGGTTCAGTCCTGGTACCAAAAAAAAAAAAAAAATGATTCAAATGATAGCAATGAGGTATGTAACTATCCATCAGCATTATTATACACAAAATTTCTACATTCAACAGGAACTTATAGTAAAACCAGACTTCAGAGCTCTTCCAACTCTTTCTTTTCCCTGTTTCCTACCTCTTCCTGCCCACATTTCTTCTGTTAAACTCTCATCTTAATGTCCAACATAAATTACTGCATCTTGTTCACTCACTCCAGCCAGGCATGATCCCCACCTTCATGTTGTTTAGTCATTTTCTTTATTTATTCATTCCTTTCATGTATTCCATAAAGTTATTGGGCCCTTCTATAAGTGACCCACTAGATGATGTCCAGAGGTTACAAAGAGGAATAAGACATGTTCCTTGTCCTCAGTTCATGCTTTAATAAAAGAGGTAGCCAAATGGGCAAATAATTTCAAAGCAATGTGAGAAATGCCACAATAATGAAGATCAGAGTGCTGTCAACCAGTCTAATGAAACATTCCTTTGTTTATTTTTTCAGTACTGGGGATTGAACCCAGATCCTCATGCATCCTGAGCAAGTGCTGGACATTCTCAGCCCCCTTTTTATTTTTTGGAGACAAGGTCTCACCAAGTTGAGCCAGTCATCCTCCTGCTTCAATCTCCAGATTAACTGGAATTACAGGTGTGCACCACCACACCCAGTTTATATTCCTTTTTAGTAGAATTGTCTTGCATATGTTTTGCACCCTTAGAGGTTGTAAGCCTTTTGAAGACAAGCCAAATTTTTGTTTTCACCTCTTTTTGTGTACTGGGGATTGAACCCAGGGGCACTTAATCACTGAGCCACATCACCACCCTTTTTTATATATATATTTTGAGACAAGGTCTTATTAAGTTTCTGTGACTGGCTTTGAACCAGGATCTTCCTGCTCCTGAGTCACTGGGCTTACAGGCGTGCACCACTGAGTCCAGCTTTGTCTTCGAATTTTCTACATAGACTGAAACAAAAAGGGGAAGGAAACATGTGACAGAGGTAAGGATTATGATAGGAGAGGAGTGAGCAAGAAAAAGAGCAAGCAGCAAAGTGCATGATAATGAAAGAACTGATATTAATTTCTTCTTACAAGAATGATATAATTTCATCTTACTATTACTAAAAAAAACAAAACAAAACAAAAAAAAGATAAGAGCTAGAGTGAAAACCATTTCTTTCAGTAAGGGATGTCACCATATGCTGGGAGGTAGGGAGACATTTTGCCTTTTAGCCAAGGCAGGGGGAAGCTGTTTCCAATTAGGACTTCTGGAAATGAGGAAAGGAATATAATTGGAGGACAAAAATAAAACTAAAGACAGGTGGAAGATGGAGGAATGTTTTATAGCTATGCCCAAGTTATCAATAGAGGCATTTTGGGGTTACAAATGTGATTACATATCCCAATGCTGCTGAGAGAAGAAAATAAAAATTATTCTATCTGAAGTAAAATATCTATCCCAACCTTTAAAAAACCTTCACAGAATAATATTCTCAGTGACCTTCAAAACAAAGCAGCAACCTTTTAAAAGCTAATCAATGAAACTTGTTATTCATATCATATATATCTGACTAGTTGTATCTTCCTTGAGCTACAAAAGTGCATATTTTAGGAAATTTCAGCAATTGGTAGTAAAGAGAGACTTATTTTTAATCCTAAGGAAAAAATATTGGTCATCTAGAAGAGTAAAAAGTAGAAAATAAAATTTTCTTCAACTCTCTTAAGTTTGTGTGATGGACTCCCAAAACAGAAGACAGATTAATAAAATAAAAGCAGGCAAGTTTATTAATGCACATTGTATGAGAGAAAAGTCACTCAAGGTAGTGGCTTAGAAGACTGCCTTAAATAGTATTTCCACAAAGAAAAATACCTTTTAGAGAAGTAACAAGACAAAGGAAAACAATCCCAGGCTTCAAAGGAGGAAAACATGGAATGTAAATTTATGGACCGAAAATTGGCTCACTGGTGCCTGTCTCTGAGCTGATAAGCAAGTGTTGTAAAGAGGAATTTATATCCATTCTGTGGGTGGGAAAAAAGGAAGGATGTAAAAAGACCTTCTAACTTTGTGAATGCTATGGTTTGGATCTGGAATGTTCCACAAAGTCTCATGTGTTGAAGGCTTGGTCCCCAATGCAGCAATGTTCAGAGGTGGGGCTCATGGGGAGTGATGGAATCACAAGGGCTCTGACCTCATCAGTGGATTAGTCCATTAATGGGTTAATAGTTTGATGAAATTATTGGAAGGTAGTAAAAACATAGGAAGTATAAATTCCAGGGGTGGTCAGCCAGCATGGATGAGGAAGAGGGACCTGCAATACAAAGGGGGCATAATATAAAAGAGTTTTTTCATTAAAATCCCCAAAGGAAACATGCAGATTTGCTGGTCTCTGCTCTTCCTCTAGGACAGGAGGTGGACCACTTCACCCACCCATCACTCTAGAATAACAGAAAAGTGCAGATTTGAGTAAGGATTTTACACCTAGGTATACTTGACCTGCCCACCCACACCACTTCATTCCATATCATCACAATCCAGCTCTCATAGGTCCTTCTTGTTCAGAAGGCCTTAGTTTAAACAGTTGTGGACTGGCTATTGAAGCTTGGCTTCTGGCTTCTGCCCGGTTGTCCCTTTGGACACATTGCAGGAGCAACTTATGGAAGAGGCATTGGCTTTCTGTGGCTGCAGCTACAATGGTGGGACTAGCTGGTCTTTTCCGGGCATCCCTGGTACTTGAGAAAATATCTCAGTATGGCCCGCTGTCATTGTTGCATTAGTGGGATTGACTGGGGCATTCCACTGCAGGCAGCTCTGCAGGAAGCCAGGGCTGAAAAGGAGGAGCTGTCATCAAGTGTTTACCAAGGAATCACAAGCACCTAGCAGGACAGGTGAAGGGTGAAGCACTACTGGGAGATAGGGCGAGGGTGACTTGACTTCCTGCCATTTCAAGTAGGGTCAGAGTCCATGTTATTTTGTGACTTTTTGAGTTTCTGATTTTAGCTTGAAGCTCTTACAAGTTCTTAGAGGAACACAGAATAGAAATGTGTAATGATGGGGGTGGGGTGAGGCAAGGCAGCTTAAAGGAGGTGGTATTTAAATTAAATGTTGCATAAGTTGAAGTTGGAGAGGTAGGAGAATATGCTGAATTCAGAGAACCACAAGCAGTTCCATAAAGCCAGAGGTACATGGTGAGACAACAGGATAGGGCCATAGAGAAATGAGGATAGGGAGGTTGTTCATTGTATTGGGTATGATTTGCTTATCTTCTCTATTTACCTTGGATTGAGCCAAACAATAGTAGTGTGTTTGATGATCTTTATTTGAGCTTCTGTAAGTGTTAGAAGATGATTTCCCATGGCTCTCTCCTGTTTCAGTA